ATTGATTAAAGTTCATTAAAAAATTCAAAAAAATTTATTTGCTATCTTTTAAAAAAATCGCCAGTTCTGGTTAGAACTCATAATGACCATTAAATATCACTGAAATTACGGCATATTGAGTAGGTAGGAAGGAGGAGTGCTGCCCGAAAGCCTTCAGCCATTAGCTCAATTATCGTTAGATATGACATTTTGATGCGCTGGCGTGAAAGCTTAAAATTCCTGCTACTACTACTACTACTTACATATCTTCGTTACACTTTTTGTGGACAGCCATTCAAGGTTGGCATCTGATGGACATCTTTTTCTTCATTGAACTCTAGCTCGTTACAGCCGAGGCAGACAGGCAGACCTATTTCATATGCATTTTTCCTCTACAAAGAGCCTTTAATCGTTTTACTGCTGACCCGTTATTGTGGCTGTATATTCTTTTTCAAACCTATTTAAGGGCTTAAAAAACTTAACAAAGTCAATTGTCAATAGTTTTTCGAAAACTACTCAACCGATTGAATTTTTTGTTTTTTTTTTTTTTTGTTTCAAATAGCAACTTATTTAAAAAAAAAAGCCGATGTTGAACAAATTTTACAAATTTTTAATTTTTTAAAACTGCCAAAAATCATTTTTCACTTTCTCGCTTCATCCAAATTCTAGTTTCTTCGAAAGGAAAAATTTTCCTATTCCTTTTGGCGACGATAAGATCAGCAATATCGACTGGTTGTTCGAGACCATAGATATTCATTGTAGGACGTTATTTTGCTTAATAATTCAGCTTAGAATATGCTAGCCGAACTAAACAGAGAGGAGTGTCAACATCACCGTCCTCACCACGCAGTCTACTTTGGAGCCGTCGGCATAGATATAGATGAGATTATTGTCACTCTATTTTGTCCGCTATTTTGTCTTATTTTCAAGTACATTTTTTATGTTATGGAACAATTTAATTGGGAATTACTTATCATTGCAACTGAAGCCAGATTAGCACTTTTTTTTACATTTTTTTCTTTGAAATGGAATCTTAAGCTTAAGAGTTTATATTTAAAAAATTAACAGAGTCGACTTATTTCTCACAACTGTATTAATTACGCGATTTGACTTAGATTAAATTTATATATCGGAAAAAGTGAGATGATCGCTCTTGAGAAAAGTTGTTCCCTTAGATGGCGCTAGTCTCCCATCATTTGAAAAAATTGCACTCACAATGGCATATTTTCTAATTGAGAGCCAAATTATTAACTTCTATCCAAGTTTTAATTTAGAAGTTATATTATCGCATACCCCTGGAAGAACTGATGCTACCAAGTAAGGAAGGCTAAGTTTGATGGAAACCGAATATTAGATCGGTCAAAAATATACGGTCTATTATATGGAAAGCAGGTCAGTTTCTTGACATATGTCAGGTTATTTTGTTGAGACTATAACCATCATTAAAAGTGGCACAGCTATCATGTTTTATGCTCGATTAGGCCCACCATTAATTCGCGCTCTTGGTAGATCATAGGAATCATAAGTCTCAAGTTTTATCGCAATCCGGCCAGCTATGCTATACTTTTTGGGCCTAAAGTAAATGCGATCTTCCCTAACAAATACGTCTCTAATTACACATTTGGTTACAGATTTTTTTTTTTTTTTTTTTCAAACTTAATTTGCTTTGTATACATTTATAGCAAAGATGAATATAAAAAGGAAATTTTCCAACTGAATTATGTCCTTAACCTAAAATTAGAAATTCTTCATAGAAGAATTGTCATTGATTTTTTTTTTGAGAATTTGCTTTTTATGAGGATTAATAAAAAAAATTTAATATGTGTAGGTTATAATTTTTTTTTAATTAATTGGATTCTACCTTCTTTTGTCCCCTTTCTTCAATTATTATACTATTTACGCCGGATATACGATGTTGCAGATCACGTCACGTCTAGAAATCTTAAGCCCATATTTAAAATATTTTCAACGAGCATTAAAAGATTATTAATAAATATCTTTTTAAAATGCAATACATACATACATACTATGATATTTATGCCATATCGATGCTTTACCTGTAAAGAAAATAAATTGAAATATTTGTGTTAAAAATTTTTGCAAAGAATATAATTCTTGGTAAATCTTTCATTAAAAGTGAGATGATTAAATCTAAAAAGGCGTAACAATTTTTGCTAATAAGCAATTAGATAACATACATAAATCATAAGTTCAGTGCACACATGACAGTGACAGAAGTCATCGAAATGAAATGATGGAATGAAATGATACGGTCCCATATACATAAAGAATGTTCTACACCCGCTCACTCATACCAACAGAAGCGTAAGGCTTAACATCCCCATCAATATTGAAGTCTTAAATATGAAATGATACAACCAAATATTTATTTTTGTTTCAGCCATAGCGTAGAAATATTTACTTTATAACCCCAAAAACATAGCCAAAATCATAAATATAGTTGAAGTTGTCTATCTTTGTCCCTGCTAACCTCAGATAGTAAACTTATTGGTTAAAATTACAATAGTCTACAGATGCTTACCAGCTGTGCACGAAATTGGCATCTTTCAGGAGCCAAAAGTCAACCACAAAATTCACAATAAATACTCACCCACACAAATGCAAAAATAAACACACATTCACATGATTCTTTGAACTTTCTAATTCGCTTACATAAATACGTAATAACTCTTAATTAGTTTGTTCATTTAATATATTTCACACATATGAATGCTAAAAGTGGCAAGCGGAGACTTAGATACTCGCTCAGCCTTAGTTGCGTCACTTGCGGCAAGTAGCATAAACGAGTATGATATAACTCATGTGTAACCAAATAAATAAATGTCTTTCGTAATTTTAATTTGCCAACTTTGGCAGAACAGCGGTAATTGCTAGAAGATTAAGAAATACAAAAAATAAATCAAACTGCTTCTGAACTTTGTCAATTCTTATGAATGTATGGGTGTAGGTTGTACTTCGAAAAATTCTTGAAGATTTATTATTAAAGAAAAAAGGACGAAATATAACTAAAATTAAATAAATTAAAAATAAAAGAGCAAATTAAATTAAAATCTGGAAAAATAGAATAAAAATTTTAAGTTAAAAACCAAAGTAATAATAAAACATAATAAACAAATAAAATAATATGGAAATAAATTAATATTTATAAAAGCAAAATAAAACTGAGAATTAAAAGAAAAACTAAATAATATAAAAAATCAATTTACATAAAATTAAATCTAAAAAAATACTATTACAATAATAGAATAATAATATTAAATCTAATTAAATGAATAACAATTAAGTAACATAAATTAAATGAAAAATCATGTAGGGTAAAATAAAGTAAAATTAAAAGTAAAGCACAACGAAATATTGTCAAGTAACATAAAAAAAGGATATATGTAAAAAAAATTTAAAATGCAATATAAACTAATTTTAAATTAAATGAGTTATATTAAAATTTAATAAAATAAAATTAAACAAAGTAACAAAAAATACAAAAAATCAAAGTACGCACATAAAAACAAAATAATGCAATAATAAATTATGTTAAACAAAATTTAAATTGACGTGGGCCGATAGCTTCCGTTGCCGGTTGACTCAATTTTGTAATGTAATTAGTAAATTAAAATTAAATAAAACTCAATAAAATAAAAAGAAAAACAAAAAGCATACATTAAAAAAAAGTAAAATAATTATTTGATTTTAATTTAATTAATTTTATCTAAAACAGTTTATTAAGTACTATTTATTTTATTTAACTTTAATTATATAAAATAATTTTACTTATTTTTACTAATATAAAATCATACAAAAAACTTAACTAAGATAATACATAAATTAAATTAAATAAAATGAATAATATTTAATGAACTGATTTTAAATAAAATTATTTAAATTAAAATAAGGTAAATAAATTAAAAAAAGGTGAAATAAAAAAGATATAAAAAAAATAAAAAGAAAAAATAAAAAATTATATAACTTAAATATATGAAAACAAAATAATTAATATAAAAAATAAATGAGAAAAATAAAATACAACAAATAAACTAAGTAGAAGTAGGCGAAACCCAGTTAAAATAAAGCAAAATAAAAAAAGAGAAAAAATATAATAAAATAAAATATGCTGCTCTTTTTAGGCATCTCGTTTTCACGTAGAAAAAACGTCTATAATTTAATGTTATGACTTGGAAATCAGGTTTACTATCATATGATGAGGATTCGAAAGAAAGCCTAGTCAAAATGCCTAATCAAAAATGGCTAGTCACCGTCGCGGCTGGTTCGTTTAAATTCCAATCTAGAGGCTCCATTTTCTAGCATTTTTTCACCTATTGGGCCATATGTCTTCCAAGCTGTTAATCGTCTCGGGTTATTTGCAAGATGGCACGATTTTGCAGACCACACTACAGGGCCACGACGCGCAAATATGCGTTCACCAAACGATAAATTGATTTCTTCGCTGGCCGTATGGAAAGTAGCGCCGACTTGCTGGCACCAAAGGCCGTCTTCTTGGCAACAAAGGCCGTCTTGTTAGAATCTAGTTCTAACTGGTGGTACTCCACATCAACATCCTCCCAAGTAAGGCAGGGAAATATGGGTCAATGATTCCATCTGCACATAGAGAACACCAGTGACTTTTTTAGGGTGTAACGTTTGAGAACAATGACCTGTGGATTATCATCACACCAAATATGATTCTATTTTATTTTTTTTATTAACGCATCCTTTTAACCTAAGGTGAGTTTCATGGCATTATTTTGGTATAAAATTTGCATAATTTCTAAACGCTTATGCTTAGTAAGTCTGTTCATGATAATATGAAATAAATAACATTATTCAAAAAAAAAAAAGATAAATAAATAAATAAATAAAAGTTGATTAAGTAAAACCACTGGAATTGATTTTTATGAGATTATTTCAATATGCCGCCAGCTAAATACAATATATAATAAAACTCAAATTTTACTAACTTCTGATATTATTAATTTCAATTATTGGTTATACTCCTATTCTTACAGACTCAAACTGCGACCAACGAAAAGACAACAGTAACCTGTCAGTATATATTCCAATTGCTTTTCGTCACAAACTATGGCATAAATTTTATAATTTACTGTCTTAGCGGTCAAAACTTTCGGTAAGTAAACAAAGGAAAATATAAGCCTATTATTGGAAATTCGTATAAAAGTGAAAAGTATATATGTATGAATAAATCTTATACACGTATATACGAATATATGCGGAGTGGCAGTGATTATGCAAATTAAATTATTTAAGTTAGCAATATTATTTCCAAAATAAATTTATAACAATACCATTGGTAGCAATATATATTACATATATATATATATATATATATATATATATATGTATGTAGACGTACATATTTATTCTATTTGCAAAATTCTAAATTCTTGTTATTGTACAATTTATGTTTTTCTACTGAAAGTCCTGCACATTTTCATTTTTTTTTATATGATTAAATTTCATTAAACACCTAAAAACGATTTTCATTTCTATTTCGTTAGGCACTTTACATAATTACACCTTGAATAGGGTTATCCATTTCGAAGTTTCAAAAGTGCAGTGCTGTACTTTGACAACTGTCAAACTTAACTCTCAAACTAAGCGTGTTTTTTTTTTTTTTTTTTTTGAGTTGAAACTGTTAAAATTGTCAAAATCAACTAGAAAAAATCGTGATTCAAACATTGCCGCGCTTCGTGCTTTAAGCGGAGATTATGCTGCACATAATCAATCGTTCACTACTTAAGCAAGTGGTAAAATATAAAAGAAACTTGAAGAGACTGAATTGGTTACAGATATTGTTCATTATCGTTTTACTTATTTATCTACAAATACCGCCTGCTGCAAGTGGAACTGTTGTCGTAGTACCTAATTTGTCTATTTCTCAACGTTCTCAACAGTAAGAGGACTTTCTCACGGCGCATTACGGCATATTTTGCTCTTCGACTGGTACCCACATACATATTAGGTCAAGTAAAATGTTCGTTTGGTTTTTTTTTTTTTTGATTTTTCAAAATATGATCACTTTTGTCCGAATTAAATATGCGCCGTTTCGTTCGTAAACTTGTTGCCAACGAGATGCCAACTTAATTAAACCTCTCTCGTAGAAGGCTGCGTCCCTATTGGCAAAAAACTCAGAGAGCCAATTTTCACAAGCCTCTCTTGAGGCCAATTTCTCACCATTAAGCGCGTTCACCATGGAAAGGAAAAGATGGAGATGATAATCACTTGTTGCCACGTCCGGTCTATAAGGTGGATGCATTAGGACCTCCCATACGAGCTCCTGGAACTTCTGGCGCGTCAACAAAGACGTGTGTGGCCTGGCGTTGTCCTGATGGAAAACAATTTGGCCTCTGTTGATCAAAGATGGCCTATTTTGGATTAGTGCTGCTTTCAAGCGGTCCAGTTGTTGGCAGTAGAGGGCCGGATTGGGCGTTTGACAATAGGGAAGCAGCTCCTAGTAGATGATTCCTTGCCAATCCCACCATACACACAGCAAAACCTTCATGGCCGTCAATCCGGTCTTGGCCACCCGAGCTTTGACCACAACCTTTTGCGCTCGATGTTGACGGGTCGATTTTGTTGGGATTCAGCAGCGATTCGCAGGTGTAAATTCGGTCCATCATGTTGTTTTGCGTTAGTTCGTCTGGAATCCGAACATCGAGCTTCTTTTTGAATCCAAGGTTATGCAAATGGTTTCAAATGCTTTTCTGGCTTATCTTTAGCTCCTCAGCAATTAAATAAGTGCTCACGTGAAGGTCTGTTTCTACAATTTTCATGATTTTATAGCAATTTTCGACGACAGGCCTCCCGGCGCGTGGTGCATCTTTGACATCGAAATTACCGGATCGGGACCTAACAAACCACTTTCGCGCTACACGTTCGTTTACTGTATCGGGCTTTTTCGCTTTGATCGAAGAAAAATTGTAAAATGTAGCGAATTTTCTCTTTGCTGGTGCCAATCTTTGACGAGCGCTCACAGCGTACTGAGTCAATCAATCGAAAAACTGTCAAAGAAAAACTTTTAGCGCGAATCAACACGTTTTCAGCGCCGTATAGTATATTATGCGACACGTAACACTAGTACTTTGGGCAATAACTCCATCTCTTAGATAAAAACCGAACGAACTTTTCACTTTGCCTAATATAATGTCTAACTCGCAGCACCATACTTACAACTATTGTGTGCTTCAGCAACACCCAACGGACGCAGATTTTCCGACCAAAACTTTCTTAGGCGACGAGGCACATCTCTTACTCGAGGACTACGTAAATAAGAAGAACTGTCACATTTGGGGCTCCGAGAATTCTCAAATAATTGAAAAGAGAACATTACACTCAAAAAGCATAACGTCTGGTGCGCTCTTTGGTCCGCAGGAGTGATTGATCCTTACGACGACAAGATTGTCATTGTCAATTTGGATCGTATGATAACCGACTTTTCTTCGCCTGCAATATGTGGTTTGCACAAGATTGTGCCACAGGCCATGCAACATGAACGAATATGGCTGTATTGCGAGAAATATGTCCCGACCGCATAACATCTCGTAGTGGCGAGTTAATTAATCACCGAGATCGAAAGATTGTACAACGTGCGACCGTTTGTGGGGCTACGCGAAAGACTGTGTTTATGTGGATAAATTCTCAACTTTTGAGCACTTGAAAACCAACTAGAGACACGGCCCAGTATGCTCCAAAAAATGGTCGATAATTTTCTCAAATGGATTGAAGTGTGCATAAATTCGTAAGGCGGTCATTTGAATGATTGATTTGAGTGTTTCCCATATGTATAATGCCAAGGTTCAAACTTTATAATATAAAAATTAATTCCATCACAAAGAAATATATATTTCAAATGATTTTTTTTGTGACATTTTTTTCGAAGCCTCAAAATTGATAACCCTACAGTGTAACAACTAGCAATCCATTTATTCGCCCACATACATGCATATATACAAATATTCATTCAGAGGCCTATTCTCACTGTTACCGGTAAAGTAAATTTTGTTACTGTTTTTTTTTTAACACCTGAAATTGAATTTGGTATTCTGGCGAACTGGTCACAATGTTTGAAAAAACTTTGGCAGCACTGCCAGTTGCTAAAGTAAAAAGAAGAATATTCATTTATATTTCTGCATTTCATTTGTAGTTGGGAAGAAAATTTTTCCGGCTTTTACTTTGACAGCCAAATTTGAAATTTACTGCAGCGATTCAAAAACAGAAGATTGGCTCCTTGCAATTAGACAATCGCTTCCAAAGAATTCATGATACGCCTCGTGAAAAAAAATATATATTGTTGAGAGAAACCTCAAATGAAACGGCAACGATGTCCTGTGTCTAAAAAGTTTTGATTTAAAAACAACGTACGTCCTTGTCATATGATTATCATAAAATGATAATTTTTTTCCCACAAACTTCTTAACCTTTTTTCAACTTTAAATAATACTAGACGTAAACTATGTCTCTACAATTTTTTTTTTTATCTTTTAACAAATTAACAGTACAAAATCGAAGAGCTGATTGTTTGTTGCCTGCTTTTTTGTTGATACCAAATTCACAGGGTGACAGTGAACTCAGAATACGAAAAAGTAACAAAATTTACTGAATGGTAAATTTTAATACCAAAGTAAATTTTGTTATATCGACAGAATAGGCCTGTTAATGTTTCATTATAAACAATTAAATTTGCATTTTCCTTGTCTCTATTTCACAGCAAAGAATTGATTAACCTGTTGAGGTACTGCAAACGAAAGAGAGCAAATCAAAAGGAAGGTGCTACACAAATAACAAGAGGTAGGTAATGTGTTGGTCTTGTGTATATCCCTCTGCCCGTGCGAATCTCTAATTAGCGCAAAGAAATGTGACGGCGATTGAAATTCGCACCTTCATTTGGTCCGCATTTCAGTAGCGTACACATGCATACATACATAGCTTGTGTAAATATGTTAATGTGTTTATATACAATACGCATCTCTAGTGTTGATGCAATCACGTGTAAAATAGAAAAGAAAAAACGCAAAATAAAATTATAGTATGCCTACTGGCGAGCGCAAATGATGTAGGAAAAATTTAAAAAAATTAAAATTATTTAAATTAAAAATAAATTCCCCAAAAGGGTTTGACTGGTTTTATTCTAAGTAAATATGTAATTGGGATGAAAAAACGTTGATAAAAATTTTTGATATTTCCTCCGGTTTATTTAATTCCTTAAGGCTTCGGTCTATTATTGTACACAAAGCAGAGCGTAGATCTTTTTCAAGCATTCTACACACATATTCGCGTAAAAATGGTGGAAGTAATAGATAACTTATTTTTCGAAGTAAACTCTATACTGACCATAAGAAAAACCATATATTGAAAAGATATTTCCCGCACATCTAGCTCTATTGAAAATCCGTAAGATGGCGCTGACATCGAGTTTTTTATAAAGACTCTATTTGTGAATGGTGCAGAAATAAAAGTGTTATTACATGCAGTTTAGAGGAAACACTTACGTATCGTGAATAAGGAAAAGAAGAAATCGATGGAGCCTAAGCTAAAAAGGGAAAAAAGAGAATATACGAAGAGGCAGCCTTCGTGCTCGTAAAAATTATGCGACTGTGTAAAATGACTTTGAGAAACAGCAAAAGCTTTTTTAAGACCGTGAAAGGACCTTAGCGAGTACCAAACAAATCTTTCAAGACTTCGGCATTGCAGAAATTTTCGTCTATACAGGAACCAGCATAAACAATTATGTCAGTGCTACCTTCACTAGACTGTGTGGACAATGGAAAATTACCCTCTCCACGAACAAGAATAAAAAGCTCTAGAACTCGTTTATGGTGCATGGTACAGAGTCAACGTCCAACGTGTCACCGTTTGGAGTTTTCCACATATGAAAAGCTTTCATTTCAACTCAGAAATACACTCGAAAGAATTGATATTTACTGCCGTGGGACGATAATTTAATTTCATTTTATTTAAATAAATTTTATTTCGACTAAGAACGCGCACTGCTAGTCCCTCGGCTATTGCGGCCGACATATTTCAAAAATTTAAAACGACAACTAAGCTGTCTAGATAATGTCTCCGGTTTAGCAAACACACTCCAGCTTTTTAAGGTCACAGTATTCCTTGC